GGAGTCCGGTGGGCATGGTGGCCGAAAGGTGGTATTATGTGAATTTATAGTTGGCAGCTTGATAGGTTGTGAAAATGGTGGTGATTGAGAATTTATGATTTTTTTGTAATTTTTTAAAAATTTAAGGGCTATGGTTACAGTTGGTAATTCATCTTTTCTTTTTGTTTTATTTTAATAGGAGAGTAAAATCGTCCTTTTATTGAAAAAATTGATGAAAATGACATTTTGCGCAATGAAAGGTGAAGTGTAGGGGTAAAAATGCTAAAAATGAAAGGTAGGGACGTTTTGCACAATAATATTGAAAGGTAGGGACCTTTTCTGCTAATTATGCTAAAAAATAAAAGGTATGGACGTCTTGTACAATAACTTTAAAAGGTAGGGACCTTTTGTGTTAATTATCTTTTTGATTTAACGGAATATTTTAACGGAGAGTTGACAGAATGACGTTTTGCGCAAAAAAAGGTAAAGGTAAGGGTGTAATCCGCCAACAAATGAAAGGTAATGACGTTTTCCACAAAAACATCGAAAGGTAGGGACGTTTTGTACTAATTACCCAAAAGAAAATGTTGAAACTATAACCGCCAAAATAATAGGTTAATTACCTACTATATTATTAATAGATTGGGGATCCTATTTATTTTTGTGAAAATTACATAAATTCAGGTACTTAAACTTTCAAATTTAAAATTCAGGGGTAAAATTTATTTATACAGAAATCAATTATTATATATATTTAATCCGTCCAATTAAAAACCTAATCATTTCCCCAATTCAATTGCGTCTCCTTCTTCTCACTCTACAAACTCTCCTTCTCTCTATGACAATTCTGAAATTGCGATAGGAGATTCATCATCGACGATGTTCATGACGTCGCCACTGTGGTTGCGACCTTTGAAGATTAGGGCCGATTTCGGTGTGAGATTGGCACTGCTGTAAGGGGCGCGACGCCTCCTTTTCTTGGACTCGTGAATGGGAGCGTCGGTTCAATTTTCAACAACGGCAGCCTCGTCCATTGCCACTAAAGATGGTGGCGCTGTAAACTCCGATGCCCTTTTTTTTTTTTTTTTTAAGTTGTGGTGGATTTTGTTGGTAGTTGGAGCAGTTGTGGTGTTCGTGTTTTGGTTGTATCAAGGGAATTGAGTGGTTATTGTTGGTAGTGGAATTGGCGGTAATGGTAGTGTCGACGACAAGATGGTGGTCGACGATAGTGACAGGGTGAGGATGGTGGAAAGTGACGATGGTGGTAGTGGAGGTGGTTGTATGTAATGTGACCAACTATTTGCCCTGTAATTGACTATTTGATTATTTGTGATCTTAAATTTTGATAATTGTGATCAACAAATTCGAAAATATGTATCGAACTGTGACCTATTAATTTTGATTTGTAATCTCGAATATAATCTGTGATCAGTTAATTTGATAATACGTGACCAATAAATAAGTTTGTGACTTATAATTATGAACCTGTGACCATTAATGGTATAAATGTGACATTATCATTTTCAATTAATAAAATATATTTAATTGAAAAATGATGAAAACCCGATTTTTGCATTTTTAAAACTTTAGACATGAGAATTGAATTGTCAATACTTAATACCTTAATTGTGAATTTTTCCCTTTACTATTCCTTTTGCGTTTTGGGCAGTGATGATCCCCTCAACCCAACTGCACTCCGCGCCACGCGCGCCCAAAGCTCAAGAGTATTAATTGGGCCGCTTCAGACCCTTACTCACAGACCTGACAGGGCCCAACTTTAAAGTGCCAGGCCCGTATAAAGGGACCAACTCATGGCATGATCCAATATTTTGACACCGGTTTAATTAAAAAAATTTAATAAAATATAAGTTTAACGTTACATATTTTATGAAACATACAACTTTTTATCAATTTTTCAATCATACACCTCATCAAATTTTTATCAAAATCTACTAAAAATATAATTTTTACTAAGTTTAAATCGTGTCAAAATTTGTATAGATCTCGTCCACGCTCCAAGCTCATTAATCCAAGTCCATGGCCCTAATATCAGGGGTAAATAAACAGTGATTTTAAACTGGCAAACAACACAATTAAACACAAGTAATAAACAGCATTCTCCTAAGTATGATTATGCTTCAATGTTTAATCATGTATCAATTACATATATTCGGTATATTATCGCATAGCTGCTTCCTACATTGGATTCCATAAACATTATCACTTAGAACAAACTTTTGATGTCAAATAAACATAGTGGTACCGTCGGTGACCGGGTTTACTGTGTTGCTTTTCGTTCTATAGGAATGGTCGTAAGACCATAGCCGAACGGAAAGAGAGGATCATAGTGTGGATCACCAACATTCATCGGAAGCTGGTCGACTGTCTTGAACCAAGTGCGTGCTAGTTTGCCAGTGAAACCGTAGTCACCAAACAAAACATCGGAAACACCTTGCCCTTCGGTTCCTGGAAGCCAAGCAGCCACAAGCGCTTCCATTTTAGGAAGATAAGGTTCTATTACCACTGGACGGCCAGACATGATAATCACGACACATTTCACATATTCACACACATTAGTGATTGTGTCATAACCAGGCTCAGCTATTGTCAGATTCGTGCTATCGCCCACACTTTCCGAATAAGGTAATTCGCCAACTACTACAATGCCATAAGAGAAGTTGTTGGACTTCAAGAAATTCCTGTCAGGATTTTCGCTGTAGACAACTTCTGTTAGGGGATCAACAGCAATCCTCACGGCAGTTAAAATTGTGGTACCTATCAAACAACATGAACCTTATAAAAAGCTGATGCAAAATGATAAAACCAATATAGTTTCCAATTAGTTATTTACCATCTAAATCAAGATTTATAGAATCAAATAACTGAGAACCCAATTTTGAGTAGAAAAGTAAATGACAAAACGACTTCATTTTTACATCCATCCCCTTTTCCTCCTTCTCCAAGTAAACCAATTATTATACATACATATATATATATATGTGTGTGTGTGTATGTGTATGTGTATGTGTATGTATAATGTATGTATGTATGCATATGTATATGTATATGTATATGTGTACATATATATGCCTTACTTGGTAGAGATGCATACTGCCTTGATGAGAAATGCTCACTACAGCATTGCTTCGGCTGATGATCATACTAAGAAATAGTGTTCATCGTCTTGGGGTTAAGCCATAAGCTCAATCAAAAGTACAATATCGAGTAAAAGGAAATCAGAAACACACACGAGCAAACACACAAATTNAATGTTCTTAACTAGTTTGGTATCCTTATTTTCAGATTTCATATTTCAATCAATTGAAAAATAAATAAATAAATTGGTATCCATAAAACAAAAACAACTGGGAAAATGAGTATAGACTAGCTCCAAGTCCAACAATTTGAGGGAAAATAGTGGCACCCCAAGCATTGCTTTGGCCATGAACGGTATCAGTTCCAACAGTTCCGATAATGATAGGAATTTCAAGACGAGTCAATGGAGCACCCTTTCGTAATTGATCCAAGTCTCAACAGGGGCTTCGAGAGGAAGCTCATTGCCTCCACCAACCAGAATACCCCGTGCCCAGTTCAATACTTAGTCAGATTCCATTGCCGTACACTATATCATGTATTTAAATTGAAATCTTGGCCGAAATTCTTGCTAAAATCAATAACGAAGACTATACTTTGATAGCATCATAGAGAGATTAAACATATCCTCAATGAATTGCCACAATGTAATATACGATATAACAATCGGAGAATTACATCCATTATGAAGAATTAGCCTAAAAAAAAAAACGTGCCTATTAAGTTATTATCATCAAAGCCACTCTTCATGAAAGTTTAGATCAAAATCTCGCAAGATAAGTACCAATGAAGTATTTCTCCAAGATTTCTGATGAAGCAACCTTTATATCAATCTGAGTCATGTGACCAATTTTTTCTTATGAGTGTTGTTCTTCTCAACAAATCTTTTATTCTATAATTTAGCGGTTGCTCCGAATCCTTGCATTTCAAGTACAAGTGTTGTAAATTTGTTGTTCAAAATCAAAAGAAGGGATGGATTTAAGAAAAAAATCAAGAGGAAGAAATTATTCCTGTGCGTACGCACGTTTTGATTAGGCAATAACAGAACCAAAAATGATTCTATTATGCTGCGTGTGATCGTTGGCTGGTTTTTTCTTTTGAATATTTTGGTGGTTTTGGGCATAAAGAGATGAAACCATTTCTTGCAAGACTAGTTGAATTCTATATATATTTGATAGTTTTCATCCAAAACACATGAGAATAAATTAAAAATCATTCATACATTCATCCAAACTTTGAAAAAATTGCTCACTTTACATATTCAACATTAGTTTTCACTTGTTCAATTTGAAGATCACTTTTTGCTTTTGGGTGTTCTTCATCAAGGCTTGATAAATCATACAAATTACTTGTCATTTTGATCCTTAAAAGAATTGGAAATGAGGCAAATATCGTTTGAGGACAACGATATTATTTTCTTGTTCAAGTTTTCTTCTTCATCGTCTTCTTCTATTTTTCTCCATTACTGTAATTTTCCAACACTAAGACCATCACGAGCATTAAAAACCTCGCTGTGGATGTCTTCAAATGATGCCTCGTGCGAGTACTAGCACACACCAATTATTTTTCTACTTGTAGAAGAGGAGGATGACAGCTCGTTGCCGAGTACTTATAAGCAGACTGTGAAGTGCAGAAAAAGGAAAGTTAAAGAATAAAATGAGTTGTATTATTCATTCTTTGATCTTAAATTACAAGTATTTCAATATTTCATCCAATTGGGATACATCTTAAATTATTAACCTAATTCTTCATTAATTAACCTGACAAGTTACTTAAAAAACTGTAAAAATCAGTGATTTGGTACAGAAAATTTGGATTCAATCATTTGAATTTTTCTTCTGTTTAATAATCCCATCAAAATTCTAATGTCAAGTAGTGGATGTAGAAGAGAACAAATCCAATGACGACGACGACAACAAATTATTCTTACTACCGAATAAATTTAATGTAAGTTGCGTAAATCATGGTTCATCTAAAAGGCATAAATAATAAATTTTGAATCCTACGCCACATTATAAAAAGCCACTTATATTGAAGTTTTGTAAAACCCCAAAATTTATTTCATTTATATACATATATAAATAAAATAGACTTGAAGTGTTACCAAAAATCCTATTTTCATAATTTAAGCAAAATCTACTTATATTCGAAATTTGAAATTTGTTCGATATGTCGATAATTATAAATCAACAATTTAAGTGAAAAGTTTTCACATCAAATAAAATATTAAATTACTACGATTTCAAACCATCAATTCGAATTTAACATAAAATGTCAAATGTTTGAACACAATAAAAACGATTAAATACAGTGAACAAAATTTAACTTTTAACATGTTCTTCAACAGATAAAGGAAATTTGCAAATTCTCATCTTTAGAAATTTTTACGAGACAAGCCCTTAAGCATCAGTGCATCATTTGGTCAATCTATCACACATCCACACGATCTGTTCTACTATGAAAAGTTATTGTAAGAGTGGGTATTTTGAAAAACGGTCAGTAAAAAATACTTGTATATTCTTATTAAAATAATATAAATATAAAATGTAATTGCATACTGACATTTCTTAGATTTAGAGCAAATTGGTCGCGACATCTAATAGTTCAAGGAATTTCATAAGAATTTCTATATCCCGTAGGATTTAATATATTGGACCTAACGGTCTATCCTGTAGAATTTAACATAAAAATCGACCCGATAGCTTTAGAGTGTTTTGTGCTAAGTCTATAAAAATATCAAGAAAATAAGAATTTACTATTTGCACCAAAGTTTCTTACCTCAATTGTTACCAAGATATCTGAAAATATAGGTAGTTAAATAAATAAATAAATAAATAAATAAAATATATATATATACATACTTTGTTCAATCTCAAAAGTGTTAGTGGTGAAAATGTGTACAATATCAATTTCGTGGTAGAAGAAAAATCATTCCATCTCAAATATATACACACACATATATATATTCCACTATTATGTTCGTAAGTTACTTAACTTAAAAGGCAATTTTTTCCATGTTAATGAGGGTTAATAGAATTAATCATCATTGTTAATGATTTTAATAAAATTTAAATCAATTTAAAGTGAAGGTTTTGTTTGGGTTTTAAATTGAGTTAATTACCATTTCAAATTCACTATAACCGTACCAGCTCCCTGTTTTTCTTTTCCTTTTTTATTATATATTAATAAAATATTTGAGGGTAATACTTTTTCTTTCTATTAGGATAACTCCAGCATGACTAGCTCAGAATTACTTTTTCTTAAGCCCAAATAAGTGTAATATCAATATATTTTTATCAACTATCAAAATATTTAAATATTCGACCCAAATAATTTTTGGATAAATTCTAAAAAATACACGTAAAGAAAATGAATCATTTATACAAATAAGTGGTAGCATTTATCGTTTCAGCTTTTGGGCTTTAGTGTGATGTCAAGGTTGGGCATGGGCTATTTCATCTGCTAAATGGCCAATATTAAATTTACTTCATATGAAAATATAGTTAAATTCGGAATGTTACAAATTTAATTTATGTTAATTTTGTCGTGCACACAAGCATAAAAATCTCATTTTTGAGTTCTTGAAGAACACAAAGAAGGTGAAAGAATTAGGTGAAATCAAGAACATTT